TAATCTCTGAAGCTGATACACATGGCAAATTCCAAATTAATTAAAAAACAGTATATTTAACTTTCCACTTATTTGAATGTTTACATTCATAAATAAAATTCATAGTAAATTCAGTGCAAAGTATTGAAAGAAAAAGGTGTTACATAGAAATGCTCAGACAAAAACAAATATAGAGGGAATCTGTTGCAAGAAGACTGACTCTATAGAACTATTAAGGAGAATGTTGGTGAGGCAAAACAATTATATGGTTCAAAAACTTGGACCTACAAAAAGAAGAAGCATTAGATATAAAATCAAGTGCAGATAAAATGTAATATTTTCAAGCTTTTAATATTTCTAATAAAGGAATTGACATTTTTTTTTCCTTCAACAGCCATATAGTAAATATTTTTGTTTTGGGAATCCCATGCCTTCTGTCCCATCTGCTCATCCCCCTTGATTCAGAACAACATCCTGGTCATTTTTAGGTATTGAGAGTCTTGGAGCTACTGACAAAGGGTTGGGGGAGGATGTCTGTATGGGGGCCACCTAGTATATGGACACAGCCAGACTGTGTTTGGTTCTCCAGATCATGAATCTCAGGTGCTCAGCAATGGTGGTTCCCATGTAAAGTACAGGATAGGAGTGGGGCTACCATAATCCTTTACACCAAGCTCTTTGAGGTCCCTCTCCAAAAGGGCATTGTGCATTGGTACCAACTGAAAGAAGGGAAGTCCCAGAGGGAAATCCTTTATGGCTCAGCAAAGAATTACAAGCAAGACAAGCTCAACTCCCACTTGGAGACAGATGCTAGAAAAGATGGTATCTTTTACCTGATAGTCAATAATGTTGTCACATATGATGAAGCCACATAACTATTGTGCCTGCTGGGATCTCACAAAGTCAGAGCACGCCTATAATCCCAGCAGTTTAGGAGGCGGAGGCAGGAGTATTGCAAGTTCAAAGCCAGCCTCAGCGAATTATCAAGGCCCTAAGCAACTTAGTAGGAACCTGTGTCTAAATAAAATATTTTATAAAAGACTGGGTGATGTGGCTCAGTAATTAAGGGATAGGTTCAATACCTGGTAAAAGAAAAAAACAGGGGTAGTTTTTTATCATCCCTCAGCTGGGTTCATAATTATGCAACCACATGGACTCTGCAATGCTGTCATTTCCAGGTTCACAGGTATTAGAACAAGGAGGTTCCTCTGGTTATATTTAGTCCAATGTCCCCACTTCAAATGAGGAACCAGGCACCTGGAGAGGGCAAAGGCTAAATGGTTTGTCTCAAGCTACTGAACCTCAGAGGCAGGTACACACCTACCTTTCATGTTCTTCCTACCTCTCTTGTGAAAAATGCTGTTTTCTTTTGTTCTTAGTAACATAGCATTTCTTTTAAAAAGAATCTGAGACAACTCAGTCTTTTCTTCTCTGTGATGGCCTGGATCCCAACCAGGTTTTATGTAGGTAAAGTATGTGACTATCACACTCTTCAGAAAGCAATGAACGTCAGCAGAGGATGAAATCCATGCTCCATTGACCCACACAGTGCTCTCTCCTGGCCACTTACTGCCCTTCAGTTTTGTAAATTTCTCCCTTGTCTGAAATCCCAACACTGGAACAGTTTATTGTCATAGTCTCCAACCAAAAGGACAGGTGAGTGGCAGTGATTGATGATTTCATAAACATATATGTAAATTGTTTGTGAGTTCCCAGAGGACCCGCTGACCCAAAGCCCAGATTTCCTGCACTTCACTGTGAACCCTGGGACCTGTCTTAAGTTGGGGATCACACACTTCATTCAAATTTATTGTCTCTGGTCTGCTTTCTGTTTTGTTAGAGTGCTCAGGATTTTCAATGTTGCAAATCTCACTAGCTACACCTTGGAAATAAGAACACCCAGATCAAAAAATAAAATAAAATGTTGTAGTTATTCTTATCTGAAATACAGGAAATTTGCATATGAATTAGATAGTATAGGTCAGTTTATGACAGTAGGTTTCTTTTCAAAAATGTACATCTCTTGGGCTGGGGTTGTGGCTCAGTGGTAGAGTGTTTGCCTAGCAGGTACAGGGTCCTGTACCACATAAAAATTAAAAAATAAAGGTATTGTGTCCAACTGCAACTAAAAAAATAAATATAAAAATATATATCTCTCTGTTTGTATAGGTTTTATCATAGGTCTTTGCTATAACTTATACTGTGCTTTTTATATAGTTCTTGTATTATAAATTTTGTAAGAGATATATAATTCATTACTTACTCTATTGTAATTTATTTCTTTGTTTATATAAAAGATGCTTTTTTTCTTTTGTATTTTATTTCTTGAATCCTCAATGACTCTGAATATACAGAAAATTCTTAAGACACCTGATATATCTTTTTCTTGTGTTGGAATAAGGAAAACTCAGAGACAAAAAGGGATGGCATGGGCCTCAGTCACATGTGGTAAAAGAGCCAGGTGCAATCTACAATTCCAAGATAAAATAACTTAGAATTCTCCATTTACACAATCTTTCCAATAAATAAATGCTAAAATTTAAAAACTTTTTTGAAACACAATTTTCAGACAGTGCTCTTTTTCCTTCCAACTGGGAGGCTATAAGCTGCTATGAATGGATAGTTGTGCTCCATGATCACATTAATTCCTGTCCCTTGGGAGCGGAGGCCATGTCTGCTCATGGAAGTTAGGCCAGGCAGGACAGGGTGGGCCTGGAGTAGACATAAGATTGCAGAAATGCCCCCATAAATCTTCTGCTTTCCACTTATCAGAAAACTGGATTTATTTCTTATATTCCAATTTTAGTGAGGAATCTATAATTTTATGGGAGATAATATTCTACAATTTTATCTTTATTCCAGGAGAAATAAGAAGTCATCACAGAATTTATTTTTTATTTGGCTTTGCCAAAAAAAAAAAAGAAACATGGTGCCAAATGGTAAATGATAAATGTGGGTTTTTTGAAAACAGAGACGTTGGATCACAGCTCTTAAATGTGTTGGCATATTTGCATTTTTGGTTACTAAACAGCTTCCTCCTTTCAGAAACATATTCCCAAATTGCTAAGAGAAAAGCCTTGGTGATTTTGAGAACAGAAAATTGGTTCCTTTGATGCACTCTGAGTACTTTTAACATAACTGAACACCTGGAAATCAAAAAGAAAAAAAAAAAAGACTTAATTCTTGGAAAACTTTTCTTGGTACTTTAGAAAGGTGGTTTCTTAATTTTCACTTATTATTTATTGAACCCAGGGACCCTTAAACACCGAGCCACATTCCTACCCTTTTTATTTTTTATTTTGAGACAGGATCCCACTAAGTTTCTTAGGGCTCACTAAGTTGCTGAGGCTGGCTCTTAACTTGCAATCCTCTTGCCTCAACTTCCAGAGCTGCCTGGATTTCAGAAAGGTGGTTCTTTGACCTGTAGGCCTAGCTTTCTTTTTTTCCTTCTCCAACATTTTTCATTTTCCTTTGTCAATTTCCAGTGATTTAACCAAATTAGAAAACAATGTATAAGATCAATTCATGAGAAAACTTATAAATAATCAGATAATACAAAAATCTATATTCAAGTTATTCCAAAGGAAGCCAGAAGGCATAGTTGCTAAAGTGCTGGTCGGGTCATGAAGCTTGGGAAGAGGCTGAGATTTTTTTAAGACAATTTGGCCAATGTCATAGTGTAGGCTGTATCAGAATATTTGCAGGAGAGAATAAATTCATAGCAACTCTTCTTTTTAAGTAACTTTTTCTATTTTTAGCCTAGTAACAGAGAATGAATGGGCATACTTCAGAAAAATCATCTTGAAATCAACCTTATCTGTCTCTGCCTCATTCTTGAAGAGATGGTTTTCTAGCTGCAAATTCTTTTAACTTTTGTTTATCGTGGAAGGTTTTAATTTCATCTTCCATCCTGAAGCTTAATTTCGCTGGATACACAATTCTTGGTTGGAACCCATTTTCTTTCAGTGTTTGAAATATGTTATTCCAGGATCTTCTAGCTTTCAGAGTCTGTGTTGAAAGATCAGCTGTTATCCTGATTGGCTTACCCCTAAATGTAATCTGCTTCCTTTCTCTTGTAGCTTTTAAAATTCTCTCCTTATTCTGTATGTTGGGCATCTTCATTATAATGTGTCTAGGTGTGGATCTCTTATGATTTTGCACATTCGGCATCCTGTAGGCTTCTAGGATTTGGGATTCTGTCTCATTCTTCAAGTCTGGGAAGTTTTCTCATATTATTTCATTGAATAGATTGCTCATTCCTTTGGTTTGGACCTCTATATCTTCCTGTATCCCAATGACTCTTAAGTTTGGTCTCTTGATGTTATCCCATATTTCTTGGATGTTCTGCTCATGGTTTCTTAACAGTCTTGCTGAGCTGTCTATGTTCTTTTCAAGTTGAAATACTTTGTCTTCATTGTCTGATGTTCTATCTTCTAAGTGTTCTACTCTGCTCGTAGTATTCTCAATTGAGTTTTTAAGTTGGTTTATTGCTTCCTGCATTTCTAGCATTTCTGTTTGTTTGTTTTTTATAACCTCTATCTCCCTGTATAGTTGATCTTTTGCTTCCTGGATTTGTTTGTGTAATTCATTGTCGAAGTGATCTTTCATTGTCTGATTTTGCTGTCTAAAGTCTTCCTTGAGACTCCAGATCATCTGAAGCATGTATATCCTGAATTCTTTATCTGACATTCCATCTGCTGCAGCTGTTACCTCTTCTAAAGTTGAGTTGACCTGCATTGCTTGTGGTCCTTTCTTTCCTTGTCTTTTCATACTGCTTGCGTTTCTTTCTGCTTGGTGAAACTGTTGTGTTTTTGAAAATTTTTCCCCCTATATATTTATATTGCTCTTGTATAGTTGAAAAGTCTCTCTTGCAGGGTCGGGCGGCGGTCTGCCTACCTTGCAGGCGCGGGCGGCAGCTCTGCTCTGCCCCTCCTCCAATTGGTGTGACTTGTCTACCACACCCACGGACCGCTGGGCCTGTTCCGGGCGCGGGCGAAGGCTCTGCTCTGCTCCTACTCCAATTGGGGTGACGTGCCTACCACCCAGACCAGCCGCTGGGCCTGTTCCACTGGTCGGTCGCAGGTCTGCCTACCTTTCGGGCACGGGCGGCGGCTCTGCTCTGCCCCTACTCCAAATGCGGTGACGAGACTACCACGCCGGCGGGCCGCTGGGCCTGTTCCGGGCGTGGGTGGCGGCTCTGCTCTGCTCCTACTCCAATTGGGGTTACGTGACTACCACGCCGGCGGGCCGCTGGGCCTGTTCCGGGCGCGGGCAGCGGCTCTGCTCTACCCCTCTGGCTTGATGACAAAGTGAGAGAGACTCGGGTGTTTGTGACTCACTTTCTTTACCAGGAGACCAACTGTTTCTGTCGCCACTGGTATCGATGAAGTTCTCTCCTCTGCCACTTTCTGATGACATCAGATCTCTGCCATGTTGATCCATGCGAATGGCAGCATTTTGTTCCGTTTGCCGGGTGACCAAGCAACGGGTGAGTCCTGACCGGCCCTCACAAGCCCCATCTCAGTCCTGTTGCCACTGCCTATGAAGGCTCAGTTGGTATTTACCTCCACAGTATTCAGCAGGACCCGGACCGAGAAGCAGTTTCTGTGGGTTCTTTATCCCTGGGCCAGAGCAGTTCTAGGAGCCGGAATTCGGCCTCTCCATGCTCCGTGTATGTTCTGATAGGAGCAGGCTCCAAGAAGCAGGTTATTTAGCACTGAGCCTGAGTAATTTGTCTGCGAGCCGCAGGCGAATGGCAGCCTGAAATTACCTGTTCTATGGCTGAATGAGCTGCGATCAGTCGAAAACAGGGATGGTGACATCAGCTCTCCAAGATGGTGGCCGCTGGCTTCCTCTGTGGTCTGACTGGTGTGGAGAACCGACTTGGACCACTTCCTTCCCCGTCTCAAACCCAGAATTCAGCACTGAGTACGGTGATTGCACAGCTGGCAGAAGCCCGCAGAAACTGCAGCGCTGTATCTCACAGTGACGCGGTACACCGGGGTAATGCTCTCCCTTCGCCGCCATCTTCCTCCCTCTCTGCCTCATTCTTGTCCTCAGAACATGAAGGATCCTTCTGTAGGTCTGAGCTGCTGGATATGGAAACAAAATCACTTTGTAGATGGTTTTTTATCTTCCTTGTAAGAAAATGGATTGATATGATTGAAAAAAATATATTGCCTGTAGATGGCCCATATTACTGAAATTTGTTTGTTTCACAAACTACTCAAAGCCAAGGTTTTGTATTCTCATTTGTTCATTCACTCTCTCTCCAAACATGTACTGAAGATGGCTTTGGTGTTAAATGGCGGAAATAAAAGGGTAGATAGCACAGAGGTTCAATACTTAAAAGATTCCTGGCCCATAGTTGAGTGTTGTTAGATTTTTCCTTGATTAGGTTGCACTGTAGTCTTTTTAGTTTGTTGAAGATTCTGGGTTGACCTCTTTTCCTTTCTGTATTTGTGTCGAACTTGTTACTTATAAAGTCCACATAAGCAGTATGAGATTTCTTGGAAAATTGGGAATGGAACCACCATTTGACCCAGCTATCCCTCTCCTCAGTTTATACCCAAAGGACTTAAAAACAGCATACTATAGGGACATAGCCACATCAATGTTTATGCAGCACAACTCACAATAGCTAAACTGTGGAACCAACCTAGATGCCTTTCAGTGGATGAATGGATAAAAAAATAGAGCATATATATACAATGAAATATTACTCAGCAATAAAAGAAAATAAAATCATGCCATTTGTAGGTAAATAGATGGAGTTAAAGAAGATAATGCTAAATGAAGTTAGCCAGACCCAAAAAACCAAATGCCAATGTTTTCTTTGATATATGGAGGCTGATTCATAGTGAGATATTGAGCAGGAGCATGGGAGGAATAGATGAACTCTAGATAGGGCAGAGGGGTTGGAGGGGAAGGGAAGGAGCATGGGGTTATTAATGATGGTGGAATATGATGATCATTATTATCCAAAGGACAGGTATGAAGACACAAATTGTCGTGAATATACTGTGCATATAACCAGAGATATGAGAAATTGTGCTCTATATGTGTAATAAGAACTGTAATGCATTCTACTGTGTCATATATAAATTAAAAATAAATAAATAAATAAATTCCACATTCAGGATGACCATCAAATATCAGAATTTTTTTAAAAAATTAAGACTTTAAAATGAAATAGCTGTGTTTCTAGATATTTTGAAGAAGTGATATTAATATTGGATAGGAGTTATTACATTTGGTTGAAGAAATTGATGAAATAGCCCAATATCATCCCATTACAAATAAAAATAATATAGGTAACTTTTTGTGGGCTCAACATCATGCTAAAGAATTTCAATGCCTCTGCCATCACTCAACACCCCTATATAAGAAAACCTCTCATTTCCTTTTCACAGTAAGACTAAAAAGTTCAGTTACTTCCTAGTCACAGGACCAGGAAATGTGGCAACTTTGGAGATTCAGTGAGACTCATCATTCCAGAGCACCTGGTCTGGACCATTATATGATTTTGCCAAATTAGTCCTGTTAATCATATTCTGAAGATTTCCTTTTTCTCTAAGTTGTCTTTACTGGGGCAATTTGACTACTTAGTAACAGATCACAATTTATATTATTACTCATTAGGTAATAGATACTCAAGAAATGAATCTTAGTGAACTTCTACAGAATGACAAATGATTCGGACACCATTCCCCTTAAGTTTCTTTATGTGTTGGCATCAAATTTTCTAGAAATACTGAATCTTAGAACTACAGCAGCTGTACTGAATAATATTCCTCACTTGTATAGTTCAGACCTGCTTTAACAGCTACAAAAGGTATGATAATACCCACAGGTTAAGATCCTCTGAAGAGCAGTTTCGATGCTCTAGTTGCCTTAGTGTGTCTTTTCAAGTCGAAAGGAGCAGTTCTTTCAGCAAGGGATTGTTTAAGAGATCATCATTATGCATTTCCATTCTGGAAGAGCTCATCAAATCTCTTATCACTGGGAACTGGACTGTAAAAAGAAGATTGTAAAAATCCAGATGTTTATCCTTCTACACCTATAAATCACAAAATACTAGTGAAGTATGTTGAATATATGTTTATGAAGTATTTAACTCTATGATTACTATGATTGGTTATCTTTGAAATTAAAGAAATAATAAATATCAGTTTCTACTTATAATATGTACTTTCTTAATTGATTGGTCTACAAAGTTAAAAATTATATTGACACAAATACCAGTTGAGAAACAGTGTTTTTTTTTTAACCTTTACATTTCATTAGGAATTTTGTCCGTGCTTCACCTGGATTAAAAACATGCATTGCTTGTCAATATTCTAAGTCATCTCAGATCTGAGTGTCTATTGGGAAACCTCATATGGTGGTATCCCTGGTTATTATCTCTTCATGAAACAAAAGCAAGGCATTTTCCTATTAATTATTATTTTATAAATTTGTAAAATAGTATAAATTATACAGACCTCAACCCAAGTAATATTTACTAATCTATATTAGATTTTTTTCTTTGGTTTATTTGTTTTACCAGAGCTGTTTCCAAAAAACAGCATTAACTGACATTTATTTTAGGTTCATATCTTCTCCATGTTGGCTTTGGGGTCAGAGAACTGGAAGACCAGCTTTTCATGGAAGAGACTGCACAAAAGCTGTACTATGAGGTCCCTGTATTGCCTGCCTTTTGCCCCTGTTTTACCATAAGGTAATCCACATATTTGGTTATTTTGGGAAAGAAAGCCACTTATATTCTTGTACTTTCTTTATGTTTAAATTAAGCATGTCTTCATCTCTATCACAGAACTAATATTTGCATCCATGTTCTGATCCAGATTGGTTCATGCAGATAACACGTGGAGACCTGAGATGGCTTTGAGGGCCAAGTCTCCTGTGACTTTTCTGGTCACTCTGCCTTGAAGAGTCAAGCACCAGTTGGAAGCTACTCTTTAGCATGAGCTGAACAAAAAACATTTGAGACTGAACATTCTGTCAAAAGCTAGAATTCATGTGTCTTGCTACTACTGATGGGAAAATTATGTTGTACAACACAAGGAAAGCATTTCCACTCATTGACTGCTGATAGTGCTGTTGATTCCACTGACACTCTTGTCATTCTCTTAAGATAATTAAAGGACCCAAATCTTTAACATTATTTGATTTGCTCAGTCAGAAATCCTGTTGTGAGCAAAATTAACTAGGACCAGAACACTGGTATCTTAAGAATTCCAGAGCATGATGTTAGAACTAGAATTTGAAGAACTCAGGGAAACCAAACTCATCTAATGTTTTTGGTATGGGTAGAATCACTGTGGAATTATAAGGAGATCATCTTCAGTGGTGGAACCAAACTTGTTGTCACAGGTGAATATCAAAAGAATACAACATTTCCAAGGTAAAGGAGGGAAGACATGAAATGCTTCTACTGGAATAACAGTAAGAATGTTGGGAGAAAAGAGGAGAGTGGCGGGAGTTTAATGTGGAAATCTTAGGAGAGATTTTAAAACAAAGTCTTAGCTAACGTAGGTGATACCTATACTATGATAGGATTTTTCTTTGTGGACATGTGAACTTCTTTAAAGTGCTCTTATATAATGATATTATTTAAGTGTTGGATAGTGGGACAAATTTTATTATTACATGTAAGTCGGTGATAGACTCAGTGGAGTGGACACATTCCCTTTTCTCTTGGTTAAAACTGTTGGGGAAGAGAAAGAACTTTGCAGGTAGGACCACCTGGATCTCTGTTTCCCTCAGAGCTTAATGAGGTTTGGCAATCATTTTGCCTTCAGTTTCCTAATTTAGAATAAGAGATAATGATATGAACCCAATAAGGTTATGTGAGAACTGAATGAGATAATGAGAAGAAAGTTCTTGGCACATGGCCCAACACATAATAGGTTCCTGGTAAATTTTTCTTAAATTCAAAGGTAAGGTGAGTATCATCTCCACTATAGAGAGATTATTTGATCCAATAATATTTACTACAGGATAGAAATTCTCTAGAGGATTCAAGTATACTTCTAACTGATCAAATGGAAGGTACTTTAACATTCACTCACAGGAAAAAAAAAGAATCTAGAGGGGTTTTTTTGGAGGATTTTTTTCATTTACTAATAAAAATAACACTTAAAATGTGTTTAAAATTTTTCTGCTTAAAACATGTCTAACATGCTTTGATGTTTAAACCTTTATTTCAATTGAGTATATCTCCTACATCAATAATAGTTCGTCCTATAATTTAGAGCCAATAAGATAACTCTTTTGCCAATATTTGTTAAAAAAGAAATTTAAATTCATACAGAAAATGGTTAATACATGAAATCATTGGAATCTTGTCAGAAATCTAAAATGCATACTAAAAATGAAATAGCTTTTACAATTATTTGATGAAAGAAAACCAAACAAAAACTATATTTAAGAAAAGTCTCCCTGTAGTTTTGAAATATAACTTCAATAGTTAATTCAGTCAATGTTTGGTAAACATGAAATTTATTTCACTGGATCTTAAAATACAAAGTAGGCAGTATCATTAGGCAAATGCATACACAAAAATGAATTGAATAGGCATACTGATTTTTTTAAATAAAAAATTATGTAATAGCTATTTTATTCATTATTCAAATAAAATATGATTTCTGCCATTTTATGTATTGTGGAAATGAATTTGGCCCTGAAAACACTCTTGTACAGATATTTAAATATAATGCTTTAAAATAGCATGTAATGTAAGAATCCAGACCATAGATACTAACTGTATAATAAAATACACTATTTAATGCTTCGTCAACTGTTACTAAGAAAGTTATGTAAGTTCAAGATTCATTTTATCCTGAAAAGCATAAAATTTATACTGTCAGGGAAAGAGGCATGAGATAATAAAAGAAAAGTTTTCCAATCATCATTTGAGTTTTAATTTTTTTTCTTATTTTTATAATGAAACAGTAGATTTCCCTTGAAGAACCACACTTTTCATCTAAGTCCCTTAGATGAAAATTAGAGTACTTAACATATTAACTTTGACTAAAATCATACAAATATAATTCACAATTAAAGTGACAGTGCATTATTACAAACATAAAAGAAAACCTACTTCCTGACCCTTACTCATTTGAGAAATAAGATAAATAGGGTGCATTCCAGAATCAGCTAAATGAAGAATGAGTTGCATAGAATCACAGAGCATGAGTCTGTGAGTTACATGTCCAAAGAACAGAAGAGACAAAGAATGGGCAAGAGAAGTACTTTAGAAGGGAGCACAGAGCCTCATCTAGAGAGATCACTAAAGTAGCCTGGCTGTCTTCCCCTCCCCTGAATTATACCTTAACAAAATGTTCCACTATCAGAAAATAAAAGAGAGAAAAAATATGTGAAGTTATGAACATAGAAAGCCTTGTTCATGAACAGTTAGAAATCATACCCTCCTTAGTATATGGAGAAAGAATAAAGATCAAGTTTCCATCCAGGCTTTGACACTCCATGGCTGTGACTTTTAACAAGTTACTTAACTTCTTTGCATATCTGTTAAGTAAGGACAATAATAAATACTTTGCAACCTCTGGGTGATGAAAGGCCATGGTGGACACTAATTCAATGGCAACTTGTTCTCCTATTGATATGTGCTAAGTTATTGCAAAACAAGCAATATTTATGTTTCTCCAATTATTCTTGCAAATTGATACTCTTTTTAATTGATATTCCATTTCCTTCACAGAAAAAAAATCTCTGATGCAGACACTTTCCCGAAGCCCACATTTTTCCTCCTCCAGTTGCTAAAATAAATCATCATAAGTCTGGGACATATCTTTGTCTTCTTGAGAACTTTTTCCCTGATGTTATTACAGTATTTTAGAAAGAAAAAGAAGGGTATAAGATTCTGAAAGCCCAGCAGGGAAATACCATGAAGACTAAAGATACATACATGAAGATGAGCTGGCTAACTGTGACTGGAGGTCAATGGATAAAGAGCATAAGTGTATTGTTAAACATGAGAAAAATGAAGGAGGAGATGATCAAGAGATTCTCTTTCCTGTAATTAAGAAAGGTATGTGCATCTTAAATGTAAACATAAATTTCCATAAAAAATATTTTAAAGTGAATTGTCCACATTTTCAATCAAGTAGTAATGAAAAACAAGTGTAAATCTTTCCTAAAAATCATATTTCATGTTAGCATAAATTGCCTGTTATTTTCCTTATTAAAGTAAACATAGAAAAGTTTGCCTTAAGCTTTCTCAACTTTTGTTTTCTAATATTTAAAATATTAGAATCACAGAGTGTATTTTTAGAATTTTATGTATATTGAATAAAATAACATATGGAAGCATGTAGCAAAATGTTAAATGCTGAAAAGTAGTTTCCACTTTTTGATGATTTTATTTGATTTAGAAATCAGAACAATTACATGACTTTAAGAAATGTTCTACCATGTAGGCAAGTCACAGACTTCAGTCTTGCCATGCACAAAGTTTAATCTACAAAAAGGAATGCTTGGTTACAAAAATGCTGCTCATACAAGAGTTGGAACATAGTTCAAAGAGCAAAAAATAAAAAGAAAAAAGAAATAAACTTGGCCACTGAATTTTGTGGTGGCTGAGTTGTTCTGATTTTTATTTTATATTTCACTGTTAGACAAGATTTTCTAACTTATGGTTGAATGAAGCTAATATGTATGAAGAGACTCCATTTCTCTGTGATGCATATATTTCTTGCCTTTGGTAAATGCACCTACATAAATATTTCCTGTTTTGCTAGCATACCTCAGGCCTGAGTTGGAATGTGATGAATAGTCTAGGATTAGTGCCCACAGTAGAAAGTGCTACAGTCTATAGAGAATCTTCTTTCCCTGTTACTTAGGACCACATATGACTCAGGCATGATGTCCCAAAGGAATCCTTTGGATGTAGTGAGTTACACATCCACACAGCTGGGCAGAGGCATGTTTGCATAGAAACCTTGCAGTGGTCCAGTGACTCACTGTGTGTTCACAGTCCTGAGTGTTAAACAGCAGTCGAAATGCTCTAGTGGGCATGGGAAGCAATCTTTTTATAATTTTCTCAGTGGCTAAAATCCCCTTTGTGACAGTGAGGAACACACACATATCAAACTGGGTAAAGTCCTTTGACATGCACTATCCAGACTTCCCAAGTAAGACTACTTTCTGTAATGATCAATGAGGTCTGAACAGTTGTCTGATTTTCCCTAGAGGTATAAGCAAGATCAACTGTAATACTTTCAGCAGAAAAAAGATAGATTATGGATTCAGGTATTTATATATTTACTTATAGCCTTTCCTCGAACAAACTAAAGTAAGAATGCAAAGGCAGGTCCAATTTTCTGTTTTCCTTGCTGAGAAACAGAGAGGAGACAAATATGTAAAGCACAAGGTTAACTTAACCACTGTGCTTACATGCCCAATTAGGTTCAGATTTTTCTAGTGATTAGGGAAAAATACAAAGAATAGTAAGTTCCTTGGTGATGTATATTATTCAGAAGAGAGGTTCTAGTTTAATAATGATTTACTAGCCTCTAAATTTTAAAACAAATTCCATTCATGGGGTTCCTGTTACTCCAGAGCTAAGGAGGGAGCTTCTGTCCTTATTGTTGTTCTATAGCACTTTTGTAGTCTTGATTCTTGATTTTTTATAAACATAACACATGGAAGTACAAATGAATGAAGTGATTATTATTCTTAAGGTAGATAAAGTTAATCAGTTCCAAATCTGCAACCAACATTTATTTAGACAATTTAGGAAACAGAAACTTCATTATCAGAGACTCTGTTTTATTATTTTTACCTTAATCAGTTCAAATCAGTTCATTGTGATAGATGCTATCATTATTATCTTTTAGTGAAGAAAGTCACTTTAAGGGAAAAACATGCTTTCAAGATCCAAAAGTCAGTTCTTAAAAATATTTCAAATCCAAACATGAGCGTGTTCATATTTATGTCTTGGGACTTACTCCAAAAAAGTCTATACCCCAACTCCATCTTTAAAAGTACAAACAGAAAACTCAGTGGTCAATTAAATTCCATACTGGAAATGAGCTCATATGAACAAGAACACAACTAGAAGAAAAATAATGAATAAAAACAACCATTGTGACTGTTTTTTATCAGTTTAAAAATATATAATCTTTGTAACTTTCTTTTTTAAAAATTGCATATATGTGTACTCATATATATGCACACAATTATATACATACATATGGATGTATACACATATATATGCATGTATATGTGTGTATGTGTGTGTATATATATGTGTGTGTGTGTGTGTGTGATATATATATATATATATATATCACCTCACGTCTTATGCAAAGAGCTAAAACTGTGACTTGACCACTCTTCCTATTCCCTGAAAGACTTGTGTGTAAATGCTGAGCTCCTAAAACAGGAAAAGGCCTTTGGCTAAAAATAATTAAGAGAAGATTTTTCCTTTCCTTTTATTTGACTATGAATTATTTTGTATATATTTCTATGGATTATTTTTAAAAACTACTTTCCTCATATACTTTACTCGAGAAGATGGACCATTTAACCAAGAACTTGGCACAGCAGTGTTCATTTAGCAGGTATTAAATTGTGTCAGATGATGTTCTCATGCTCAGAAACACCACAATGCTAGAAATTCATGTGCATGAACCAGAGACATTGGGGATATACATGACTTGGAAAGGTATAGCTGCTGTCCTCTATTCAGATGAGAAATTTCTTTAAATCAAACTCCTTTGAATGTGTAAGATGCTGTTGTTGACTCAGATTGGATGAATTTCTTTGGGGCTCAACATTTCATGTCATCAGTGTGTGATGAAGCCTGGAAAACTGCCAATTTTTCTGCTTCTTATTCTGTTGAAATGTATTTGTGGATCACTTGCTTTGGTTCGTATGCTGTGCAAGGGGCTGTGAATACAGAGGAGAAACACATCGTCATAGATGTACATTCAGGTTGTGAGAGAAGAAAAAGGAATGTAACATTTTATAAGTTCACTTTTTTGGACACAACACTTCATTTTTATAAAAAAAATACATATATGTATATATAAACATGGAAGTATACATATATAAATTTCAGGAACTTTATCATCTTCATGTAGACCCATAATATATGAGCAATATTAACTGAATTAGACAGCAGTTATTTTTGAAACAGTGGGGCTCACATTTTTAATGTGTATCTCTCCTTTGTCTCTGTGGACAAATTGAATACACTAAATATCAGATGATAGGGGTGAATAAATGACTGCTATTTGCTCTCCTTGCTTTTATTTCTCACCACTATGAATCCCAGAGAAGCCAATTTGAAAAATGGAAATGGTGAGTTTCAGAATGTGTTTGCCTTCATCTCATACCATATGACTTTTCCACTATTGATCATCTTAACTTTTGAACTTTCTTCATGTAAGGTAGAAAACTCAGAATGTCTGGTTGTTCCAGAATAGGCTGAGTGGCATTTTATATTATTCATGATTTCCTTTACATCACATTAATAAAATAAATTGCCAAAATTGGTATGAGATTGGTAAATTAGCGGATACAGTGATATGCTCTGAAGCATTTCCACAAAGGGAATTTATTCATTGATTTGTCTATTGTTTGTATTACTGGGGAAACATGATATCAGTTACTCTAGTATTGTTTTTTTTAATTTAATTGATTTTATTTTTTTTAAATATACAACAGCAGAATGCATTACAATTCATATTATATAGAGAGAGGAAAATTTTTCATATCTTTGTATATAAAGTATGTTCATTCCAATTCATGTCTTTATATATGTACTTTGGGGGTTTTTTGCATTACAATTCTTAATTACACATATATATTACAATTTTTCATATCTCTCTATATAAAGTAGGTTAACATCCAATTTGTGTCTTCACACATGTACTTTGGATATGATGTCCATCACATTCCACCATCCTTGCTAATCCCCTGCCTCCTCCCTTTCCCTCCCACCCTTAGAATTCATCTATTCCTCCAGTGCTCCCCATCCCTACCCTGCTATGAGTTAGCCTCCTTATATCAGAGAAAACATTCGTCATTGTTTTTTGGGGATTGGCTTACTTCACTTAGCATTATCCTCTCCAACTCCATCCATTTACCTGCAAATGCCATGATCTTATTCTCTTATTGCTGAGTAAAATTCCATTGTTATATATGCCACATATTTTTTATCCATTCATCCACTGAAGGGCATCTAGGTTGGCTCCACAGTTTAGCTACTGTGAATTGTGTTGCTATTAACATTGATGTGGCTGTGTCCCTGTATCGAAAAAACAAATAACCCAATCAACAAATGGGCCAAGGACCTGAACAGACACTTCTCAGAAGAGGATATGCAATCAATCAACAAATATATGAAAAAATGCTCATGGTCTCTAGCAATCAGAGAAATGTAAATCAAAACTACTCTAAGATATCATCTCACTCCAGTGAGAATGACAGCTATTATGAACACAAACAACAATTAGTGTTGGAGGGGATGTGGGGAAAAAGGTACACTCATACATTTCTGGTGGGACTGCAAATTGGTGCAGCCAATATAGAAAGCAGTATGGAGATTCCTTGGAAATCTGGGAACGGAACAACCATTTGACCCAGTCCCTCTCCTCGGACTATACCCAAGGGTCTAGTATTGTTTTTTAATTGGAGATAAATAAAAATCTCAACCTCAATCTTTGTTCATAGGATTAGAAATGTGACTTGGCCTAGTTTTCTCTCCCTAGAAAGAACTGTACTAAAATGTTCAATCCTGTCCTTTAACAAAATTGGCAGTTTCTAAGCATAATAAAGACATTAGGAGATTATATTATCTCTACAAATTACTTTCTCACATTTACATGAATTATTTTTACAAAATAATTTCCACATGCCATCATTGAATCTCCTCAACCTACTTTGAATTCTGGCCCTGCCACTCACTGGAATGGCTCTTTAAATTTTATTTCCCATTCATTGTTTGGGTACTTGCATAATACAACTCATTTAAGTGTGAATGAAGACAGAAAACAAGGTAATGTTTGTGAGGCATTAGCATATTGCCTACCAAACAGTGATCAATCAATAGGTACCAATTTCATGAATATTGGTGTCTCATGTCCACAAACAT